GTTAACTTCTCAAAGACTCTCAGATTCAAAGTGCTGTACCCAACACAGAGCCCTTTTTTCTTCTGCCTTTGATTTTTATGCATACTTCAAGCTGGTCAGAGAGTGCATGGGGGTTTTGCAAGGCTTTTTGTTTAGGCTTGGTGGTGGGGTTTTAGCTTTCATGCTGCCAGCCTTCTGAGGATTATTGCCTATTAATTGCCCCTTAATAAAGGTGCTGACCAAGGAAAGGAATATTTTTACCTTGGTGCTAGATTTCCAAACTTGATTGGCTCTATTAAATGGAAAGAAAAATAAATTTAAACCCTGCACTGAGATATCTTAGCGTAGGACACCAGCGGTTAGAGGTCACCAAATCACTTGGACTTCCTCCCAGCAAAAGCAGCATCATTTTTCAATGTCCAGCCCCATGGTGTCCTGCGGTGCCTTGTACAATTAGTTAGTGTCCACACCTGCTCTGTGCTGCTCGGAGCAGGGCCAAGCCACTTTCCACACCATGGACCCCATGGCAAAACTCCTGTGGCTTTGGATGGGGCAGGATCAGCCCCCAAGAGATTTCTATTATGCTCATGGTTTGGAGCCCTGTTTGATCTTGTGCAGCGTAGTTAGATAAAAGCATGTGGTTGGGATTTCCTTGTTCTGTTATTAAAGCAAAAAATCCCCTTTATATAAGGAAAAAAAAAAAACAACCAACTTTCCTTCACCTTGTGAAGCATATTACAATCTGGAAGGTAATCTCTGCTCCATTTACCTTTTTTGCATTGGAATAAGCAAATCCCTTTGTTCTGTGCTTTAGTTTCCTCTATGTGTGAGATGGGGATAACAGTACTTCTCTAGTTGCACAATCCTATATGGATGTGCCAGGGTTGCCTCTGTGCCTTAGGGTATGGTCCACAGGCTGCTGTGTAATTTATCAACATGGGGATACCAGTATTAAGGAAGATGTGAGGCCCTTCTACAGTGTTACTAAAGATTTTGCAGTAGGTCTGTACACATAGGTGAGTTGTAGCCACAGACAGAACAGCCAAATAGGACCATTTTTTGGAGAAGAGTGACCATCCCCAAAATCAGTGTAATTTTTTGCCTGCCATGTACGTCTATCGCTCACTTCAGTGCAAGTCACCATTTGTTATCGTTTTCTGAAATACACATCTTGTATTCTCAATAGTTTTGTACCATGGGTAGGGATGGGAAGTGGTGGAGGTTGAAAACTTAGCACCTTTGCAGGGTTCAGCTGTTGAATTTGTAGATGCAAATCACTGCAGCCAGGGATGCATAATATGAATTTTCTATTAAAACACTGAAGCAGAGAGATAGGCTGTGGCAGAAGAGGTGATGAGGCCAGATGTACCATCTTCATGGTACAACCCTATACTGCTTGTCTTCCATTTCCAAGGGCATGTGGGCTGTAGCCCCACTTCTGGATACCTTTGCCTCTGGCAGATCTCCTAGTGTGAATAATGTCTCTGTGGTGTTTTGCTGAGGGATCCCAAAGGCATCTCTCTCCGCATTTAATTTTCTGTCTTCTTCCAGACTTCCCTCTGTAGTGTTTTTCTGCAAAATCCATTCTCTGGCTGCCTTTTGGCACCACTACAGGCTTCTCTGTGCTGGAACCTCCTTGCCAAAAAAAGTGTGGGTGGTGACCTAGTCATTTAGACAACCCATTCTCCAAGAAATAACCTTGTGGAAGAAGAGCCATCATGAACACTATTTACTGTTCACCATGGGCTGGGGTCTTCTTTTCCTTGGGTAATTACAGCTGAAAGAACAGCCTCTCACCCAGCCCTTGAAATCAAAGGCATGTTATGTCTTCTAAGTAATATCCGTTCAGCTATGGAGAGTATGTTTATGTTTCTCATGTTAAAAAAAAAAAAAAAAGGGGGGGGGGGAGGAGAAGGGGAGGAAAAAAAAGGGAATCTGAGGTTACTGTTTTGCTGGAAAAATGTCAAGACTTGATTGGCAATATCCCGCTAAACCACAAGTTTGTAGGAGAGAAAACAAAACCATTGGATTTTCTAAACTATGCCTATGTGCACTTTAAGAAAATGTATACCATATAGGTCAGTTATGCTCTTATTATAGCTGTGGCAAACGTACATATAATTGAAATACGGAAATACTACCCCATGCTGTTCAATGAATGAAGGGAAAACAAATCTTTATTATTCCTGGGTTCACATAATATATAGGAACACTATTGTCTTTTTTTTTTTTTTTTAAAGCTAGTTTTAGCTTTCAGATGTATTTTATTGTCTGTGGGAACATGTGTTTTACAGACCTGTCATGTGAAAGCTATTAACAAGAGGAACTGGAGAAATAACAATAAGCCACGTAACCGTGGCATGTCTACTCCCCGAGTTCAACTGTTACGCCGCTGCTTCAAGTGCATATGAAATTGGATCGTGCCAAGCAACGTTAGCTCTTCTGCAATTTTTCATTGGGAAACTAAGGATTTTTTAAGTGGCCTATTAATATTGGATTGCTGGCATCAGAGACACATTTTGGGGCCAAGCTGGCTAGGCATCAAAACAGTTAAATAGTGGCATGAAGATCAACTGGATTCACACAAGATGTCCAGTTTTATTTACCAAATCTGAACTGGACAGGCAGTTCTGAAACCTTTGCTTGCCGGTTCACACATGCAGTGGAAACCATGCTGCCCTGCCAAGTGCCGTGGGGCCCAGCGCTTGTGATTAGCCCATTTCCAGAGTTTTTAGAGAGGATCTGAAAGGGGTCCTGAGTGGTGGCGCTGGCTGCTCTTGGGTACCTGAGAGGCTGCAGGTCTGTATGTGGTTGTCCCTGCTCCCATGGAGCAGATGATGGGGACTTTCCCTTTTCTTAAGACTAACAAAACCCCCTAATAATCCTAGATTAGGCAAACCTATTAACATGTAGGAAAAGGAGCCAAAATGGATTGTGCAAAGTGAAATACAGAAAGTGGTTCACGTGGAGATGAGGAACATTGTTTTGATGACACTTTTTAACTCCCTGGACGGTACCTTTGCTAATCACAGCTAGCAGATCATGATCACTGAAAATGTACTGTGGGCAAATTTCACTGAAACCCAACAGCGCTTCATATATATATATATATATATATATA